CCTAATCCCAGCCAGTCTAGCTGGCCAGCGTGCTCCAGGGAATGCTGTCTCTCCCTTCTGATTGCTGGGATTACAGGTGGTCACTATGTCTACCCAGCTTTTAAATGGGTTCTGGGGATCTGAACTGCAGACCTCAGGCTTCTGGGGCAAGCACTGTATCCACTGAGCTAATTTCCCCAGTTTCACACACATACACATTGTTTGTTTTAAAGACATGCAGCATTGACTGGCTTCCAGCCTAGAGCCGTCCTCCTGCCTCTGTGTCCCCCAAGGGCAGGAAATACCCCCTATCCAGCTTCAGACCTTTTAACTTTTTATTTTGAGATAGTGTCTCACTAAGTTGCCCAGGCACTGGTCTTAAATCTCTCTGTAACTTGGGCAGGCCTTGAACTTCTAATCCTCGACTCAGCCTCTTGTGTCGATGGAATGACAGGTCTGTGTCACCCAGCAAGGCTCTCCCATTGTAACTGCACAGTCACAAGTAACCTGTTCACTTCATTTCCCTTCTGTTCAAATGGGGTTTCTTCTTACCCCCAAGAAAATTTCTGACCCCTCTGACCCTCATGCAGTGAGATTTTCCCCCTCATTCTGGATAATTCCTTCTGGACACTTCTACAGAGTTGGTCCCACTGACGGACCTTCCTGGTTTGTCGCTGTTGTTACTACTCCAAGCGCCAGGTCCAAAGGGCTGACCAATGCAGTTCCCACAGTGACCTCTCCTGGGTTCTCATCCAATGGCACCTCCCCCACATCCCAGAGTGCTTTCCTCCATGATTCCACAGCTCCAAAGGGGAGACTGAGGCAGAAAGACCTCAAGTTCCAGGCCAGTCTGGGCAACTTAGTGAAACCTTTTCTCAAAATTAAATCTAAAACGAGGGCTGGGGGTGTGGCTCAGTAGTGCAGTGCTTGTCTACAATCCTTCAGTGAGGATCTGAGGACAAGGCTCAGCACTAGGGCACCTGCCCAGAATCCGTCAGTGAGAGACCCAGGAGAGGTCCCAGCAATAGCTTGAGCCTGGATGCCATAGGATCAGGGTTCCATCCCCAGTACCACTAAAATCTAATATCACAGGTAGTTACTTCCTGAAGCACAGTGATGGAACCCACGGTTTCCCAGAACCCTATGAGCGCCATTAGCTCAGCCCATCGCAAAGCATCGTGGAAAAAGTAGTTTCTTCTTGCTCAAGGGTTGAACAGAG